AATGGTTTTCACTAGACCTTTTCTCAACTATTTGTGGAGTCGAATTCCTCTGCTCAAGGATCTTGCATCCAAGTCTTCTTCTTGTTAGAGATTGATCTCTGTTTGTATGTTGTTAATGTTTGAGTTCTGTTGGAATAAAATGTCTGTTTCGGGATTTGTTTCCTCTCAGTGATAAGGAACTTAAAATTCGCCTCAATTTTTTTGTTTCCTCGAGGTTTCTATAAATTCTGTGTTATGGTCACTCAACAAGAACATGAGATTTTACCGTTTTGTTAGTTAGGAGTCAGAATTGAGGAGTGAAAACTGTTTCATATTTGGAAATCAAAGACTCTCTATTACATTCCTCATTCCATCTTTCCATCACTTGGTGGTTTTTGGAGCTGGAATCTTACCATCTCGAGCTTTTGCTGGGGTCGTTGGATCGAGCCGACTTCGCATGCGGTCCAAAATGATTCCAAAGTCAATCAGTTGTAGCCTTTTGAATTGTGCTTGGTTAATGGTTACACACTCTGTTTCTGGCGAAGAAAGAAGAAACGTTGTCTCTAAAAATGTTAAATGACCAAACTTTTATGAAATTTTTGGTGTCGTTCTTCGTTGTTATAATTGGTTAATATATATTTTAGTGAAAACAAAAAATCTTGCCCAAATCCATAATTTAGCAATTTTACCCACCAAAGAAAAAATTAACTGATAATGCAACCGAAATATAAATAAACTAATTTATACGTAAATAAACGATTAGATAAATCCTACAAATATTAGATGTTATCCATAAATTAAATTAAACCAATGAATTGGTAGATAAATACCGCCTTATTTGTTTATGAATACCATAAAACAGAAAAATCCAACTAAATAGTAGATTAACAAACTATTAAATGAACTAAAATCTGATCAAATTAGAATACCTAACAGATAACATCTGAATATACGTACATATATATATATACACTTAAAATTCCAAAACAATATCAAAAAATAGCTTTTGTTGTTGGTAAACCCTAACCAAAATCTCTTTCTCTTTATACATAAACCGTCTCCGAAAACTTCTCTATACACAACTCATCTCTCTCCCGCATAACTCTCTCCACGATTCTCTCTGTTTTTTCCTTCTCTTAAGGAGATAATCAAGGAAACCAATTCAAAACCCTAACCAACATAAATCCCCAAAAAAAAAGCAAACCCTAATGTCCTTAACCACAATTCACGGTGG